ATGAATTAGAATTGACTCAATGGCAGTGGGTTTGGTTTCTTGTTTTTGGTCAGGTGCACCTTAGTCCTCAAAGTGACACCTTTGCTTTTAACACATTAAAGAAGACTTTTGTAACAGATTTCCCAATGCAATAGGTCATTTGATTTTTTTGACTGCTGCTTCTAAAGGTATTGATGGTGAACCAAATAAAATGAAATCCTTGACAACTTCAATCTTTTCTCCATTTATCATTTTGCTTGTTGGTCCAGTTGTGAGAATTTTGTCTTCTATATCTTGAGGTGTAATACATTCTGAAGTCTGTAGTCTTTGATCTTCATCAGTAAGTGCTTAAAGTCATCTTCACTTTCAGCAAGCAAGGTTGTTTCATCTGCATATGACAGGTTGTTAATGAATTTTCCTCCAATCTTGATGCTGTGTTCTTCCTTATATAGTCCAGTTCTCTGATTATCTGCTGTAGTTGTTAAGGTTGTGTGTCAACTTGGCTGGGCCTGGTTGAGTGGCTGGACAGCTGGTGGAAGTTATTCCCTATGATAAGACTGACGGTCAACTCCATGATGAGATCTACAACAAAGAGCTGAGTGGTTGCTTTAGGGATGTGTATATAAGAAGCAGCTTTGGGAATGGTCACTAGCTGATGACACGCTTGAACCCTGCATGTAGCAGAGTCATTTTTCAGCAGCCTGCCATGCTCTGCTGATCTTGGAACTTTTAATAGACTTGAATCAATGGCCTGCCGTGTGGTTTGGTAATATCAGGACTGGGCCTTTTCATTGTTGACCTTGGGTTTGTCAGCCTCAGCAGCTAGCAGTTGCCTGAGTGGAGAGATATCTCTAGTTTCAGTGGTCTGGGAACAAGAGGCAGAAATGAAGCCCAGGGTTGAGGGGCTTTCACACAGCCCCTAGAGCCTGGTACCTGTAACTTAGACTTCTAGACTCCAAAACTGTAACAGAATAAACTCCTGTTGGTTCAAGCCATCCCATTGATGATGTATTCTCATCAGAGTGGCAATAGGTAATCAAAACGTCTGCCCAGCATCCAAAAAACAAAAACAAAAAAACGCCCAAAGAGCCCAACTCACTGCCGTCAAGTCAGTTCCAACTCATAGCGTTTCTGAGGCAGTATCTTATGACACAGTCTTCCTTCCAAGGAGGGGCTGGTGGGTTTGAACAACCAGCCTTCTAGTTAGCAGTCAATGCCTTAGGCACTATGCCATCAGAGCTTGAAAAAGGATGGTCAAGAAACACAATGCTGACACACATTTTCCTGGTCTCAAACCATACAGTATCCCCTTGTTCTGTTTGAATGTCTGTCTCTTGGTCTATGTACATGTTCCTCATAAGTGCAATTGTTTTGGAATTCCCATTCTTTACAGTGTTATCCATAATTTGTTTTGGAGATGTTTATTGTGGACTTATTACAGAGATGTTATGAGGGGACAAATCAAAGACGACAGTTTAGAGATTTTATTTTGTTCTAAGTGAATTGGGAAGCTAAAGTCTATGTACAAGAGACAGGAATGATCTGATTTTCTTTGTTTAAAGAGTCACTGTAGCTGTGGCATGCAAAGCACTAAGTTGTGAGTCAAGAATAGAAGCAGAAAGCCAATTGAGACCCAATCACAGTGGTCTGGGAGGAAAAAAATGTGGCTTGAACTAGGGCAGAGGCAATGGAAATGAGAGAAGCTTCACTAAAGTTTTCTTACCATGCATGTTGTTTCTAATTGATCAGTGGAGACAAGAAGTTCATAAGCTCAGTAAAGCACTTATGATGCAAAGATGTGAATTTGGAGGGTCTGTGTCTGACCTTGTCATAGATAAATAAGGGAAGATCCATGAATCTTATCTAAGTCATATGAAGAAGGATTATTATTTGCAGGAAAAAATTTTCCTGAACACAAAGGGCAAAGGGATTTCTTCAACCATTGATGTTTTCCAGGATCACGAGTTTCGGCATTGTCAGGTGAATTCTGACAATGAATTGGCCACAATTCTGTGTCTCTTGACCATCCTTTTTCAAGCTCTGATGGCATAGTGCCTAAGGCATTGACTGCTAACTAGAAGGCTGGTTGTTCAAACCCACCAGCCCCTCCTTGGAAGGAAGACTGTGTCATAAGATACTGCCTCAGAAACGCTATGAGTTGGAACTGACTTGACGGCAGTGAGTTGGGTTCTTTGGGCGTTTTTTTGTTTGTTTTCTTTTTCTTTTGGGCAGACGTTTTGATTACCTATTGCCACTCTGATGAGAATACATCATCAATGGGATGGCTTGAACCAACAGGAGTTTATTCTGTTACAGTTTTGGAGTCTAGAAGTCTAAGTTACAGGTACCAGGCTCTAGGGGCTGTGTGAAAGCCCCTCAACCCTGGGCTTCATTTCTGCCTCTTGTTCCCAGACCACTGAAACTAGAGATATCTCTCCACTCAGGCAACTGCTAGCTGCTGAGGCTGACAAACCCAAGGTCAACAAATGAAAAGGTCCAGTCCTGATATTACCAAACCACATGGCAGACCATTGTCAGATGAATATATATATATATATATATATGTATTCTACCAAGTGTAATGTCTAATGCAAATACCTCTGCAACACCCTGCTTCAAGAGTTTATCAATTCTGAATAAAAGTTTACTGGAACCACAGTGAAAATGTAAATGAGAAAAAAAAAGAAAGCCAGGACAATATTTCAAGATTAAAGAGGAACTTGAGTCTTCATTTTCTTCCTCAATATGCTTTAAATATATATCTGAGTTCCCATCTGTCTTTACATTATTATTCAGTATTTGTTACTCCTTTTCAGCTCACAAACACATGAAAATCTTCAACATTCCCAACAACTCCAGCACCATCACTGGCTTCATCCTCCTGGGCTTCCCTTGCCCCATGGAGGGTCAGGTCCTCCTCTTTGTGCTCTTCTGTATTGTCTACCTCCTGACCCTCATGGGGAATGGTTCTATCATCTGTGCTGTGCGCTGGGATCAGAGACTCCACACCCCCATGTACATCCTGCTTTCCAACTTCTCTTTCCTGGAGATCTGGTATGTCACCTCCACTGTCCCTAACATGTTGGCCAACTTCCTTTCTGAGACCAAAGTCATCTCCTTCTCTGGGTGCTTTCTCCAGTTCTATTTTTTCTTCTCCCTGGGTTCCACAGAATGTTTTTTTTTGGGAGTTATGGCATTTGATCGATACCTTGCAATCTGCCGGCCTCTACACTATCCAACCATTATGACTGGACGTCTCTGCACAATTCTTGTGGCCAATTGCTGGATAATTGGTTTTCTCTGGTTCTTGATTCCTATTATCATCATTTCCCAGATGTCCTTCTGTGGATCCAGGATTATTGATCATTTTCTTTGTGACCCTGGTCCTCTTCTAGCACTCACCTGTAAAAAAGCTCCTGTAATAGAGCTTGTCTTCTCCACCTTAAGTCCTCTGCCCCTCATTATTCCCTTTATGTTCATCATGGGATCCTACACTCTAGTCCTAAAAGCTGTACTAAGGGTCCCTTCAGCACCTGGGCGAAGAAAAGCCTTTTCTACCTGTGGGTCTCATCTGGCTGTGGTTTCACTTTTCTATGGCTCAGTACTGGTCATGTATGGGAGCCCAACATCTGAGCATGAAGCTGGAATGCAGAAAATTGTGACACTGTTTTATTCTGTCATGACCCCACTCCTTAACCCTGTGATATACAGTCTTAGGAACAAAGAAATGAAAAGAGCTCTGCAGAAAATTCTGGGAATATGAAGAATAATATTAATTAAAAAAAATCACATTTAATGTCTTTTCCAGATTTTAAAAAAATTGGTGTCATTCACATAATTGTTCATCCTACTGTTGATCCAACACCTTAAACATCTGTGAGTCTATTTCTATTATCTCTTTCTTCCCTTGGTTTTTGATCATTTAGTCCTATTTCTTAGCATGTCTCATTTTTTTAAAATTATTTTTTAATTCAAGAAATTGTATCTAAAAAATTCTGAAGACATTAGGTGTCACAACGCAATCAAGATAAAGTTTTTTTCTAGCAGGTACATAGAGTAGAGGCAGATAGTTTTAGTCCCATTTAAAAATTACTTTTATGTGTTTTCAAGATGGTCTATGTCAGTTTTGGTCTTACTCCTGGGAGATGGCCTTTACTCCAGTAATATGGCTTTCCTTAGATTTCAACTGCAAATTTAGACTGTTTACCAAAACCCCTCCTGTTTAGTGTGCCCCGACTTCTATTTCTGTACTCCTTGCAGCCTATGACTCCTGAAATCTCTGCTCATCTCTTTAGACTCTCAGTTTCTGCATTCTACTAGATCTCTGGAAGTCTCATCTTGCATGGGCAACTTCCAAACCAAAAACCGAAATCACTGCGGATTCCAACTCATAGCAGACCCCACTGGGTTTTCAACACTGTAAATCTTTATGGAAATAGATTGCCCCAATCTTCCTTCCATGGAGTGGTTGGTGGGTTTGAACTGCTAACTTGCTGCTTAGCCATCAAATGCCTTAAGCACTACCCCAACATAGCACCTTAGGAGAGACTCAGGAATCCAAAAATTCCTTGAGGGGAGATTTTATCAAATTTTGTGGTTACTTCTCTGTGGTCTACATCTCAAGAATTTTTCCTCACCTGTTGTTTTGACAGCAGCAAACTCCAAATCTCTCTCTACAGCTCAGTAAAACTAGTGTGTCCTACTGAGACTAGCCCTCTGTCCTGCCACCTCAGTCTCTTCCCCATGCCTTCACATCCCCATATTCCCCTCTAGCTAGTGAATTGTCAAAGATCCTCAGAGAAGAGAGAGAAAAAAAAGGTGAATGTGGAACTCTTTTCCTTGTTTTTACCTTCTTTCTGGAACTGGAGTCCCTGAGGTCTTACCTGTGTTGATTGCTCTCCAGTATCTTCAAATGGTTGCTTGTATGTATATTCCCCAGATTTAGTATTTAAAGTTTTCAGAAGGGTTAGTTTAATCAGGCTGCTAAGTCATGACCATAACCATGAAAAATATGTTAAGAAAAAAATCAAGACCAAATTGTGTTTATACCTGAAAATCACGTTTGATTTAACATTAGAAAATCAATCAATGTAATTCATCACATAAATAAAATAACAGTATAAACATCATATCTTATCAAAACATACAGAAAAAACACTTAATAGAATTCAATGGTCACCTATTTAAAAATATCTTAGCAAAATAGGGATAAAAAATGACTTCTTAACTGATAAAAATGTTTTCTTTTTTAAAAAATAAACATATGGTAAATACACTTATTGGTTTAATTTGAAAGCTTTTCTCTTGGAGAAAAGGAGTCAAGGATATGCAACATTGTACTTGCAGTTCTAGCCAGTGCAACCAGGTAGGAAAAATGAAAGAAAATTATATGGAGTGGAAAGTTAAGATACAAAATTGAAGTAATTGTATACATTTATGTATAATATCTGAAAGAAATAAAAATGATATAATTGTATAATATCCAAAATAGTGTTCCAAGAAAGTATCATTATTAGCAGGTAGATTTTTAAAAATTATTGAATTTGAGACAATACACAAATATTATTTCTATATACCAGCAATGAAAATTATAAAATATCTTTAATTATACCACTTATAATGGCATCATAAAATTATCAAATGTCTAAAAATAAATCCAATAAAAGATGTACAAGACCTCATGATAGAAAAAACATTGATGATTTAAATAAATGGAGGATATATTATTTCATGAATTGAAATTCAGAATACTGATAAAGGTATCAGTCCTCTCCAAACTGGTGTATAGGTTCAGCAAAATACCAACCAAAATTCTAGCAGTTATTTTTGGGAAAATTTAAAAGGTAGTCCTAGTTTTATATGAAATCATTGAAATGATCATGAATAGAGAATGGGCAAATAAATTGCAGTGTATTGGTACCATGTAATACTAAATGTTGTTGTTGTTATTGTTAGGGGCTGTCCGGTTGGCTCTGACTCATAGCAACCCTATGTACAATAGAATGAAACACTGCCCTTGTCCTGTGCCAGCCTCACAATCCTTGCTACACCTGAACCCATCGCTGCAGCCACTGTGTCAATCCACCTTGTTGAGGACCTTCTCCTTTTTCGTCATTGACCCTCCACTTTATCAAGCATGATATCTGTTCTGGTTACCTAGTGCTGCTCTGACAAGAATATACCACAAATGGGATGGTCTTAACAAACAGGAGTTTATTCTCTCACAGTTTGGGGGCTTTAAGTCCAAGTTCAAAGTACCAGGCTCTAGAAGCTGTGTGAAAGCCCCTCGACCTTGGGCTTTAGCTTTGGCTCTTGCTCCCGGCTCACTGAAGCTAGAGGCTTTTCTTCACTCAGGCAGTACTGGCTGATGGGGCTAATAAGCCCAAGGTCAACAAATAAAATGGCACAGTCCTGATGTTACCAAACCACACAGCAGGCCATTAATTCAAGTCCATTGTAAGTTCCTAGGTTGGCAGAACATGGCAGGCTGCTGAATAATGACATGGCTACATGCAGGATCCAAGCCTGCCATAAGCTAGAGGCCATTTCCCAAGGCTTCTGCTTATATACAGGAAGCAGACCACATTCCCTAAGACAGCTCTCAGCTGCTCACAGTAGATTCCACCATGGAGCTCATTACCAGTCTCATTACGAGGAATATTACATCCAGCTGCCCAGCCATTCAACTAGGCCCAGCCATGTTGACACACAAACTGAACTACCACAATGTCCTTCTCAAGAGAATGGTCCCTTCTCACAACATAACAAAAGTAGGTGAGACGAAGTCTGGCCATTCTTGCTTCCCAGGAACATTTTGGCTGTACTTCATCCAGGACAGATTTTTTAATTCTTTTGGCAATCCATGGTACTTTCATTATTTTTTGCCAAACCACAGCTCAAAAGCGTCTACTCTTCTTTTATCTTCCTTATTCATTGTCCACCTTTTGTACCCATATGAGGTGATTGAAAATACCATGCATTGGGTTAGACACACCTTAGTCTTCAAAGAGACATCTTTGCTCTTCACCACTTTAAAGAGGTCTCTGGTGGCATAGTGCCTAAGGCATTTGACTGATAACCAGAAGGCTGGTGGTTCAAACCCACCAGCCACTCCTTGGAAGGAAGATTGGGCAATATACTTCCGTAGAGACACCACCTCAGAAACCCAAGGAGGGGTTTCTATGAGTTGGATCTGACTCCACGGCAGTGGGTTTGGGATTTTTGGTTATTCTGGTTATTCTAACTAGTTATTTGAAAAAAGAATAGTGAAGAAAAGAGGGAGGAGGAGAAGGAGTAGGAAAAGGGTAAGATTTAGAAAAGAAAGGAAGGGGAGAAAGGAGGAAAAAAATAACTGCGGATTTATATTTCCGGATATAAAGACTTATCACAAAAGTTATGTCATTGTGATATTTGGGCAAAGGTAAGCAAAGAAGCCAAGGTAACCAATTATCAAGTCCAATAAAAGACCCATACAGAAAGTCACTTGGTTTAGTGCTAAGTTGACTTTGCAATGCAGTGAGAAAGGAATGGTCTTCAAGTGCAAAATGGAATGAAAAACTAGAGAAGATAAATATATGAGTAAATATAAAACTATTGACCGATTATACAATAATTACAATATCTTGTGGGATTTATACCATATGTAGAAATAAAATATATGAGTAAATAGGTTATAACCATTACTATAATCTTGAATTGTTCAAGAAGTGGTTAAAAAGTACTAATTTAAAGTATGTTGTTGTTGTTGTTATGTGCTGTCCAGTCAGACCCGACTCATCTTCCCTCCTTGGGTTTTTGAGGCAGTATCATTATGGAAGTAGATTGCCCAACTTTCCTTCTGAGAAGTGGCTGGTGGGTTTGAATCGCCAGCCTTCTGGTTAGCAGTCAAGCACCTTAGACACTACGCTACCATAGACTGTAGTAAATCAAGGATGCATATTGTAATCACTAGAATAATTATTCAAGAATATATAACTAAAAAGCTAATGGGGAAAATGAAATTACTTGAATAATCTAAAATACAAAAGAAGGAATAAAGAACAGAGCAAATAGGTTGAATAGAAAAGAAAGCCTATCAGTAATTAAAACCTGGAAGCAAAAATTTACAGATGTCAATTGCATGAAAACACAGCCTTAGAGAATATAAACAATGTACATGTTTAACATTCTCTACACCTCATAGAGAATAAGGCTTTTCCAAAAAACAGAAAGAAGTTCTTTGTAAATCCATATGGATAGCTCACCATTGCCTTTTTAAGATATTCTTCCTGCCTTCACACTAGGGGCTAATTTACCCTAAACTATGTGAAAACTGAAGAAAGGATGTCACACAAAGGGCTCTTGAGTGAGTCACAAACTAGCCCAAGGGGAGACTGAAGACTTCACAATAATTTCTAAGATGCAGCTTTAATTGTACCCCTTGAGAATCTCAACAACACTCTTCTCCTTTCTTCACCTGCACCATCTTTTGGAAATTGTCTCATGAGCTCATATCCCAGTGTTTCCATCAACTCTGCAGCAAACATAACTAATATAAAAATCATCTGATGAACTTTCTCTGCCATACCAGACAGGAGAAAGATTCTAAGCTGGCAATTAAGGCCCACGCCTCAAAAGCTAATTATAGGGCTGTGCTTCTTTCTATTGGCTACTGCTACTGCCCAAGAAGGATCTCTGGTGGCATAGTGCCTAAGGCATTTGACTGCTAACCAGAAGGCTGGCAGTTCAAACCCACCAGCCACTCCTCAGAAGGAAGGCTGGGCAATCTACTTCCCTAGTGATACTACCTTGGAAACCCAAGGAGGGGTCGCTATGAGCCAGGTCTGACTGGAGGGCAGTGAGTTTGGTTTTTTGGGTTTTAGTAAGTGCTAAATTAATTGATCAACAGAAAGGAGAACCATTCACCAAAAAGCAAGTACAGGGGGAAAGCACTTAGGAAGAAAAAGATGGAAAAAGAGAAGTTCTGAGCAAATAGTTGAAAATATGAAATAGAGAAAATGACTACAGAAGCTTATATTTAGAGTGGACCCTAAAGAATGTCAGGGATATAAGGCAAGTTGGGATTAGTGGGTAACCAGATCTAAATGTGATCCTGCTGACAAGTTTAGTCAGAGTCACACATGATTCTGTCCAATATTATTTGGACTGGAAACTCAGTAATGGTGATGTTCAGAAATTCAGCTTAGTTTCTTGGTGGCAGGATGGCAAGTCTGAAATTTATTTATCCATTGATTAATTCAACAAATGCCTACTGTGCATCAGAAACTGAGTCAACTGAGGATATAAAGATGAATTTAACATTATTCATGAGTTATAGGAGCTTTCAGTCTAAAATGAAAAACATAAACATAAAACTTAGTCATTATATCTCATGCTGTAGTAAATATATGTGTAATCTACTGCAGAAATGTTATACAGGGAATTCATCTTATATGTGATCAGGTTTTATTTGGCTTCTGTGTATGATAAGTATCAAAAACATATCTAAAATATTCATTATCAAAAGCTGGAGCTCTCTACATTGATTAATCTAATCATGAAATTCAATGTAATTATCGTAAGTTTATTTTATGTCTCGTTGTAAATCTGTCACTGGAGATGACTGAGTTTATAGAATAGAAGGCAATGTGGCCAATGAATTGATGATATAGAGCCATGCATTTTTTTTTACATGGAAAGAAGACTACATGTATTATTTTTTAAAAAACAGGTTACAATAAAAAAGCAATGATTAAAACTAAATATATCATTTTTTTTCTTAAAAAAGGTTATATAACAATGTATTTTGAAAATCTAATTTTCATTTTTTTAAAAGAAGAAAAGAACAAAATACTCCAAAGACTTAAAATTGTTTCTCTAGAAAGTGTAATTATTTCTCATTTTGCTTTGTTTCCATATTTCTATATTCTTAATTCTTAAAAAAAGAGCTTTCTATTTTAGAAAAGTAAAATTTGAATACGATAGTGTTAATAAACTAAAATAACAAGGCATAAGCATTTTAGATTATTTGAAATTTTGTACCAAATAACTTAATATTAATAAACATCCTTGTATTTGGATAAGGCTTGTTGAATAATTTTTACATATACATTTTGTGTCTCACCAAAATTAAAGAAAATAAAATATCATGTGTGCTCAACAAGAAGTGTTCCATAGCTGACGTTAAGTCACTGCCATCAAGTCAATTCTGACTCATAGAGACCCCCACTGAAGGCTGTTTACCAAAAGGAGCTCTGGTGGTGCGATGCCTGAGGCATTTGACTGCTAACCAGAAGTTTGGTGGTTCAATGCCTCCAGGTGCTCTGCAGAAGGAATATGGGGCAATCTATTTCCGTCAAGATTTACCTCCTTGGAAACCCAATGGGGGTTGCTATGAGTCAGAATTGATTTGATGGCAGTGAGCTGTGTGGTTTTTTTTTTTTTTTTTT